TAGGAATATTTGATAGAAGATAACCTCCAGGCCGTGCCGGAGTAAGTTCTGAAACGTTCGTTGACTGACTGTGGGAAGTTGCCTCCTTGCCTTAGACTACGCACACTACACATGGGTCTATGTGTGCGTGTGGGTGGGGGAGTGCATGCGTCTATTATGTGTGTGTCGGGGGCGGGGGGGGGGGGGGGGGTGCATGGGTCTATGTGGGAGGGGGAGTGCATGGGTCTATTACATGTATGTGTGTGTGTGGGGGGGGGGGGTCATGGGATGGGTATTATGTATGTGTGTGTGTGGGGGGGGGGGGGGTGCATTAGTCGATACGTGTGTGTGTGTGTGTGGGAGGGGGTGGGGGGGGGGGGGGGGTGCATGGGAATTATGTGTGTGGGGGTGCACAGTGAACCCTGTGTAAGACGACCGCTCAAGGGACCTTCAAAACGTAGTGTTTGTTACTAGGGATAGTTTTATCCAGGGTCATTTGACTGTAAGTAGCATCCCTTGGTCATCGTTGCAGTGGTCGGCTAGGACAGGTGGTCGCCTTATCCGAGTGGTCGCCTTGACAGGTTTTACTGTATGTGTGTTTCTGTGTGAGTGTGGCGGGGGTTAACCTTAGGGGGTGCACACTACACAGTCATGTGCACGACGAACCATATCTTGTACTCAGGGTAGCATGTAAAACCATATCTTGTACTCAGGGTAGCATGTAAAACCATATCTTGTACTCAGGGTAGCATGTAAAACCATATCTTGTACTCAGGGTAGCATGTAAAACCATATCTTGTACTCAGGGTAGCATGTAAAACCATATCTTGTACTCAGGGTAGCATGTAAAACCATGCGAATACTTGTACAGTAAAACCTGTCAAGGCGGCCACTTGGATCCTGTCCTAGAAGACCACTGCAATCAGGACAAAGACATGCTATTTCCAGCAGATTAACCCTGGATAAGGCGACCACCTGGTGACAGAGACCACGTTTTGAAGGTTCCTTGAGCGGTCGTGTTAGACAAGTTTCACTGTACTTGTCATGGCAACATGCCAGTCATGACTTACTGCTAGTAATAGTATGGGCATTGGTGTGAGTGTATTCTGTTACAACGAACTTCCGCTATAAAGAACGAATTCTTCTGCGCAATGGTATTCGTTATATCAGGAGTCGAGTGGCAAATGTCAGTTTGTGTGGCATTGCACACGTACTGTAGCGAGATTATGCAAAACGACCGATTGAGACGATAGATTTCTGTAACTGACTTTACAGAACAACAAAGCAAGCAAGGCTTGTTTGTCGTTACTCGAGAAATCCATGATTTAATCAAAGTCACATATCAGTGAATAATGGTAAGAGTAGCGACAAACAGTTAACTAGCCTTGCTTACCCTTGTTGTGCTGTGTATCACGCTCTGTCTCCGCCGTGGTGTTGAGCACTGTCAGCACCGTGACTGGCTACATACTCCGCCGTGGTGTTGAGCACTGTCAGCACCGTGACTGGGTACATACTCCGCCGTGGTGTTGAGCACTGTCAGCACCGTGACTGGGTACATACTCCGCCGTGGTGTTGAGCACTGTCAGCACCGTGACTGGGTGCATACTCCGCCGTGGTGTTGAGCACTGTCAGCACCGTGACTGGGTACATACTCCGCCGTGGTGTTGGGCACTGTCAGCACCGTGACTGGGTACATACTCCGCCGTGGTGTTGAGCACTGTCAGCACCGTGGCTGGGTACATACTCCGCCGTGGTGTTGAGCACTGTCAGCACCGTGACTGGGTACATACTCCGCCGTGGTGTTGAGCACTGTCAGCACCGTGACTGGGTACATACTCCGCCGTGGTGTTGAGCACTGTCAGCACCGTGACTGGGTACATACTCCGCCGTGGTGTTGAGCACTGTCAGCACCGTGACTGGGTACATACTCCGCCGTGGTGTTGAGCACTGTCAGCACCGTGACTGGGTACATACTCCGCCGTGGTGTTGAGCACTGTCAGCACCGTGGCTGGGTACATACTCCGCCGTGGTGTTGAGCACTGTCAGCACCGTGACTGGGTACATACTCCGCCGTGGTGTTGAGCACTGTCAGCACCGTGACTGGGTACATACTCCGCCGTGGTGTTGAGCACTGTCAGCACCGTGACTGGGTGCATACTCCGCCGTGGTGTTGAGCACTGTCAGCACCGTGACTGGGTACATACTCCGCCGTGGTGTTGAGCACTGTCAGCACCGTGACTGGGTACATACTCCGCTGTGGTGTTGAGCACTGTCAGCACCGTGACTGGGTACATACTCCGCCGTGGTGTTGAGCACTGTCAGCACCGTGACTGGGTACATACTCCGCCGTGGCGTTGAGCACTGTCAGCACCGTGACTGGGTACATACTCCGCCGTGGCGTTGAGCACTGTCAGCACCGTGACTGGGTACATACTCCGCCGTGGTGTTGAGCACTGTCAGCACCGTGACTGGGTACATACTCCGCCGTGGTGTTGAGCACTGTCAGCACCGTGACTGGGTGCATACTCCGCTGTGGTGTTGAGCACTGTCAGCACCGTGACTGGGTACATACTCCGCCGTGGTGTTGAGCACTGTCAGCACCGTGACTGGGTACATACTCCGCCGTGGTGTTGAGCACTGTCAGCACCGTGACTGGGTACATACTCCACCGTGGTGTTGAGCACTGTCAGCACCGTGACTGGGTACATACTCCGCCGTGGTGTTGAGCACTGTCAGCACCGTGACTGGGTACATACTCCGCCGTGGTGTTGAGCACTGTCAGCACCGTGACTGGGTACATACTCCGCCGTGGTGTTGAGCACTGTCAGCACCGTGACTGGGTACATACTCCGCCGTGGTGTTGAGCACTGTCAGCACCGTGACTGGGTACATACTCCGCCGTGGTGTTGAGCACTGTCAGCACCGTGACTGGGTACATACTCCGCCGTGGTGTTGAGCACTGTCAGCACCGTGACTGGGTACATACTCCGCCGTGGTGTTGAGCACTGTCAGCACCGTGACTGGGTACATACTCCGCCGTGGTGTTGAGCACTGTCAGCACCGTGACTGGGTACATACTCCGCCGTGGTGTTGAGCACTGTCAGCACCGTGACTGGGTACATACTCCGCCGTGGTGTTGAGCACTGTCAGCACCGTGACTGGGTACATACTCCACCGTGGTGTTGAGCACTGTCAGCACCGTGACTGGGTACATACTCCGCCGTGGTGTTGAGCACTGTCAGCACCGTGACTGGGTACATACTCCGCCGTGGTGTTGAGCACTGTCAGCACCGTGACTGGGTACATACTCCGCCGTGGTGTTGAGCACTGTCAGCACCGTGACTGGGTACATACTCCGCCGTGGTGTTGAGCACTGTCAGCACCGTGACTGGGTACATACTCCGCCGTGGTGTTGAGCACTGTCAGCACCGTGACTGGGTACATACTCCGCCGTGGTGTTGAGCACTGTCAGCACCGTGACTGGGTACATACTCCGCCGTGGTGTTGAGCACTGTCAGCACCGTGACTGGGTACATACTCCGCCGTGGTGTTGAGCACTGTCAGCACCGTGACTGGGTACATACTCCGCCGTGGTGTTGAGCACTGTCAGCACCGTGACTGGGTACATACTCCGCCGTGGTGTTGAGCACTGTCAGCACCGTGACTGGGTACATACTCCGCCGTGGTGTTGAGCACTGTCAGCACCGTGACTGGGTACATACTCCGCCGTGGTGTTGAGCACTGTCAGCACCGTGACTGGGTACATACTCCGCCGTGGTGTTGAGCACTGTCAGCACCGTGACTGGGTACATACTCCGCCGTGGTGTTGAGCACTGTCAGCACCGTGACTGGGTACATACTCCGCCGTGGTGTTGAGCACTGTCAGCACCGTGACTGGGTACATACTCCACCGTGGTGTTGAGCACTGTCAGCACCGTGACTGGGTACATACTCCGCCGTGGTGTTGAGCACTGTCAGCACCGTGACTGGGTACATACTCCGCCGTGGTGTTGAGCACTGTCAGCACCGTGACTGGGTACATACTCCGCCGTGGTGTTGGGCACTGTCAGCACCGTGACTGGGTACATACTCCGCCGTGGTGTTGAGCACTGTCAGCACCGTGACTGGGTACATACTCCGCCGTGGTGTTGAGCACTGTCAGCACCGTGACTGGGTGCATACTCCGCCGTGGTGTTGAGCACGCTTGTGGCTCAATGTAGCTGAACCATCGGACCTTATTTGTCAGCTTGGATCACGTGATCCATCCAGCTGCCGCGTGCGGCAAACAGCCCAAATAGCGCTAACTCTGGCCTGCGAGCGTTTGCTGCGACTAGCGCGCTAGCGCTCGTGACATACACAAACGCGCTAGCCAGAATGCTTTGACTTTGATGGCTTTCAGCTTCTATTTTTTGAAAAGTAGCGCGCTCAGACCAGCTCGCTCACTCTTTTCCTCTTCCATTTTTTAGGGCAATTGTTTTGTTTGATAGACGAAGCTTAGGGTCTCTTTGGGTTTGCAACCCTTACCCTCCTGGAAAAAATCATAGTTGCTAGACTGCGACACTTCAGACCAGGTACTATTAGAGCCGCTAATGGACGACGAGCTATTTTCCGCTATCCGGAGCTCAAGCATTTGAGCCGCTAAATGGACGAGACTCCTGGGGTAAAGGATGCAGAGAATGAGGAGAAAACACTCGTATGGAGCAGGGAGTAGGTATTGTACTACTTCCTGGTATGGAGCACTGAGAAGCGGTAAGTCCTAGGGCAATTCTTAGCCAGTAGTTACTTTCTCGCCATAATTATGTTCTCAATTTTCGTGTCTTCTGTAATGCCAGTACACTAGCAGTACGACTACACTGTAGGCGAGAGTCCATAAGCCAGAGTGTGCAGCTCTCCATCTATGCAGCATAAACAAATTAATGACAAATTTCCTTTGCCTAAGGGCTGGGTTCCACTGCCGCTCCGCCGCACATCATCCACGGCATGAAACGTCATCATCACGAGCTGGTCCAGCGAGGCCGCGGCTCATCACCAGCTTTCGCTTCGCTGCTTGATACAAAAGAATGCAAGCCGCGGTCACGGCTTGCATTGTTTCCCGCGCTTAATTGTTTTATTCGGGGGAATTTTAATTCGTTGCACAGGCCAGAACACGAGGATTATTTTGGATTTCACGCGCGTGCAGGCAGGCTAAATGTCATCAAAAAACGTCGAGCACGATCGCGGTACCGTGAATGGCGAGTGTCACTGGAACCGCGCCGCTCTGCTGCATGCAGCCAAGTACCGTGGAGCAGCGGAGCTGCGGAGCCGCAGTGGAACCCGGCCCTAACCAAACTTATAGCAATTTGAAAATGTTTGACAATTTTTCATAAAAAACTTGACAACATTGTTCTTCTGTAGAGTGCCGCTGGCAACTCCATCAATGAGCGCAGGGATAAAGTTTGGAAACCCTTCGAACGAGAACGTGTTTTCAAAAAGGAAGCACAAATATGCCGCGTAACTTCCCCTCTAGTATGGCCCCATCAAAGCCACTCGCTGACTACTTTTACCAGTAAAATGGGGTTGGACGGTTCTCAGATTAGCTGACATGTTTTCTGCCAACACAACCATAAGCAGTTGTCAACTCTCAAGACTAAAAGAGCTTGCGAAGAAAGTGAGAAACCTTGGCTATGAAAGCACATGAAGCGTCAGAACATAATCGAGCAAACTTGGACCTAGATTACCAGTGTCTGCTCCAGAGCGAGGTCAGTGGCCCTGTTTGTGAGTACTTGGACCTTTTGGAAAAAGAACACTGGGTTACCTGCGACCCGGTCGGAAGTCCTGTCGAGTACTATACTTTTTTATACTTCGAGGGTATACCGCCACTGACAGGCTGCATACGCGTGCAGATGCGTGCGGCCAGAGTGCCCAGTGCGAGTACTTTCATACATGTACATGTACAATCATGTACATCAGGAAGTCGAAAGTAAGTTTACGACTCCCTGGCACACAGTAGCCGCATTTGAACGCATCTGGCCCTGGCCCAGTGTTGCAGGAGTTGTGCCAGGTAGACGTGTACCCGGTTTGTGTTAAATCTTAGAGCAGGTACTGCATACCCTATCATATCTGTGTACATGGGTATACAGAGTCAGTGTTGTTGCGTCCCACTCAGCACCCTTCTGGTTCATTTCGGCACCAGCACTCTTTGCGTATGCAGAGCTGAGTAGAGTGCAAGTTCGGACCACAAATACACTGTAGCAGCTAGTTGCGAACCTAACCTGTGCCGTGATGCACGGCACTTGTGTGCATCTACTTTATCCCTGAGTAACCCACCAGGTATATGGTGCACAATAGGGCACAGTAAATAATCAGCATGCATCGCAGTTTTCTGCAACATACATGTATTCCTGAAGTCACTTTACACCTCAGAAGAATTGCGTCGCTAACTGTTAGTTATTCCCTAGGTCATTATGAATCGTAGAAAACCCGTCATACAATAGGTTCAAGCTAAAGTACCGTACCACCATGGTAATTACCTGGAAATTCGGTGTGTTTTCTACGTTTTTGTTAAACAAGCAGCAATGTGCCACAGAAATTACCATGGTGATAGAGTAGATGACCGTGGTATGGTATGGTATGGTATTGATTTATTTGAATTCGGTATCTCAACAGTACATTGTACAACTTGGGAAGATCCGAATGACATAGATACATAAACATAAAAGTGGATTAGGTGCTACCGTGTGAAGCGGTGTGAGATGCAGCAAAGGTGAGCCTGTTACTGCGAGTCTATGCCCTAAACAATAAACTTTGCTGTGGGATGATTCTCTTTGGGCTGCACACTCTGGTTAATGTACTCTTGGTGGCAGCATTCTGGTGCCAAAGATGATATTTTTTCAGAAAAATAAGCACTAGAGAAATGGAGTGGGAGTAACCTGAATTATTCTATTAGCAGAGCTGCAATGCTTGGGATATGAGATTATTCCCGTAGCTATGCAAAAGACGCTATTCAGTTGTACTTTAGTAGCATCTGGCGCTAGCCAGTATCCACACCGCTGTAATTCGGTGCGTGTCACGGTGCCTGGTAGGGTGGTTCACGGGGCATGCCATGGTTGGTGCAGTATCCCGTATGTGTCCCGTACCGTAATTCGAGTATGCGGTGCGCACCGTAGCATAGATGTATCTGGAGCGCTTTACGAGCTAAGATGTCGGGGCAAATATGGGGACATTCACAACATGCAATGTGAATATGCACGTCAGTTTCGTTTTAAGAAGTGGGTTTGACGGAGTAAGAAAAGGCCCCAGCTTTGGCTGCTGCATGCTAGCCCAGTGGGTACCAATCTCCTGCCATCGGCCGAGTGCTGATGGAACGAAGTAGAAGAAAAAGAAAGAAGAATATTGCATTCAAGAATACAATTTCGGTAAGGGATATACAGTAAAACCTGTAACTAAAGACCACCGTCACTAGCGACCAGCCTGGTACTACCGGCCACTTCGCCAGGCACGGAAGGTCTCACATTCAAAATGCACTGTGACTAGCGACTACCTTCTGAACGCGACCAGCGACCACCTTTTCCTGTCCCAAACACAATTTTTGACCCGTAACTAGCGACCGCGATGTAGGAAATCAAATGTTGCTCGAAGCTCCTTCTTGAAATTTTACTGATTTTCCATGGTCCTGAAAAGAATCTTTCGATACTACAGCTGAACAAATGAATGCAGGTAATTTGGGCTGTGGAGTCGGTGTGGACTGCACTACACCTGTCAAAATTTCAAGCGCTGTCAAGAAAAAAACATGATAGGAAACGTCTTGGAGAGCGCATCGAAAGCGCTCTCTGATCGATGTTACTACTCGGAGGAGAAACGAAGACTGGGCAGCTCTGTCACCCCAGTCATACAGACGGATCGACGATGGCATCAAGGAATCCAGAAACAAAGCAGCACCACAAGGTCCTGATGCTCAAGCAATCGAGAAGTCACAACAAGGACAGTCGGTATGATTGATCGCATGAACAAATTTGAAGCCCAGCGCGAAACGAAACTTCCCCAGGGAACGTTTGACTCCTGGCTTCAGAAGTAGCAGCTGAATTTGAAGTCTGCAAAAAATTAATCTTCTCTCTCTCTCTCTCTCTCTCTCTCCATCTCTCCGTCTTTCTGACATTGCGCAAGTCCTGGGGAATTGTATTAGCTGCATTTTGACATACATATCATATAATGGGATCCACATATGGTCACGCGGTGCAAACCTCTAACTAAAGACCACCTGCTACTAAAGACCGCTTTTGCTGGCACCAAGGGGTGGTCGGTAGTCACAGGTTTTACTGTACCGGTAAGTGGATAGCTAACTAAAATAATTAGCGGTATGGTTTAGAAATAGTGGTGGCGACTCTGGATGGCAGTCGTGAGTCCGTCAAGTGTCAAGTCGACGGAATAGCGCGAGCTCCAGTGTGGGGAGCAAACCCATTCCTAGGTTAGCATCCCCCCACCTCACAACAGAGCAACCGAGTTTTGGATTAAGCTGGGAGTGCCGATTCGAGCAACTGGTATGATGGCTCTGCTTGGAGCCACTAGATGGCTCGCAGCTGAGCCGGCAAATGACTCCGCTTGGAGCCGTCAAATGACTCCGCTTGGAGCCGTCAAATGACTCCGCATGGAGCCACCGAATGACTTCGCATGAAGCCGCCGAATGACTCTGCATGGAGCCGCCAAATGACCCCGCATGGAGCCGCCGAATGACCCCGCATGGAGCCGCAAATTGACTCCGCATGGAGCCGCCAATGACTCCGCTTGGAGCCGCCAATGACTCCGCATGGAGCCGCCAATGACTCCACATGAAGCCGCCAATGACTCCGCATGGAGCCGCCAATGACTCTGAGTAGAGCCGCCAATGACTCTGAGTAGAGCCTCCAAATGCTAAATATATTGGTATGCATAACCAGTTGAGAGCATATACCCCACATAAATCGGCACTCCCGGAGCGGATCACAAAGTGCAGCTACCCGTGCAATCTGTAAGCGGTGCAAGCTAGGTAAAGACTGTCAGAACTTGATATCATGGGCTGAGGCCATTGCCGCAGCCACCCATACTTTGGCTGCAGGTGGCGTCCGAATGTTACTCGAGCAGACATCGCTTTCCACCTTCCCGCCTCTCTGAATATCGAGTCCCGCAGCTGATTCGAAACGAGTGGCCGATGTACAACGCCAGGCCAAAGCCACAACTGATGAGCAATATCCTCGCAGTTGCTGTAAATGCCCATCGATTGGCATTCGCAGCTGATGCCGCTAGTTTTCCCAGGTGCTGCGGGATGCCACAATTGTAAACAACCCTTTGCGATTGCTGCTCTGCTTGATTGACTGTCCATCGCCCTATCCCCGGTCGCAATTGTACGAGCACCGGCCAAGTGCACCACTTGCATCAGTGAATACCAACAAGTCGGGGGACGGCGTCCATTTAGGGTGT